TGGATCTGAAGCATCTGTAACATTGGTTCTGAATGGGACGCAGCTCTTCCTGCTTGAGTTAAACAATTTTTTTTTAAACTGGAGTATTACAACTCATCTCTGTCATTGTACTAGCCGGCCGCTGTAACCAGAGGGAATACATGAGTAGAGGTACCAGGTGTAAGTATTCCAGTATTTGAGAAAAAAAAGTATTTATAGAATATGTACAGCTTTGGCAATATAATAAAGTTATCGCAAATAAAGCTCGGCCGAGTTCGTCTTTTTATCAAGAAAGAAAAACGAGGTGTATTGAACATCTGGACGACCAATAACATGTTGAGACTGTTTTGTGACTTTTTTTTTTTTTTTTTTTTTCATGCATCCCAGAGTATAACCTTTATTATGTCGTACTATGTGATGACATTTAATGACTTTTTATGACGAACTATACTGAGTATTGACGTGTCCTTGGGCAACACACTCAACCCCAAATTGCTCCCGCAGGCTGTTCCTGCGGTGTGTGAATGTTAAAATGTTAGTTAGTCCTGATAGACAGGTGGCACGTGCAATGGTAGCCTCTGGCATCAGGGTGTGAATGATGACATGTAGTGTTGAAGCACTTTGAGTAGTCGGATGACTAGAAATGCGCTTTTCAAGTCCATTTCCATATACTGTGACGTTTTTACTACTTTTCATGACATTTTTATGACTTTCATGATATACTGCGCCATGTTATACTATGACTGTTTTATGGCATGTCTTTGCATGGCATACTATATTATGTAACTTTATATCTTTCTTTTTTTTAACATCTTTTATGACATACTGTTGTCACGGTCCACCTGTTTCCCATCCACTCACCCGCTACCCTGCAGAATATGAACCCCGGCTCAACACTTCAGTCTGCGCCTGCTTGTTCAGTTCGGCAACGTTGTAACGCTACAGCTATGTTCTAGTTTAAGTCGGTTAAATCCTCGGGGTTCATGACCTGTGTACGATCACATTGTTTTCTCCACCTGCCTCCCCCGGCGCCTCTCCAGTCTGCTACCCAGCCGAGAGCTCATCTCCCTCTGCCTGACATCACAGGATCAACTCTCTTCTCAACTTGTTTTTACATTTTTAGACACATGAGACCGGAGGATTTGTTTTTAAATGTTTTATTCAATGTACAAAATGCAAAAGCAAAGCCTTAAGCAGCCCCAGAGGCTAGATGAATACCATCGTCTCCTCACTGGTATGCATGTTTGTGTTTTGGGGATTATTCATCCATGTTAGGTTACATAGAAAATATGTCAGTAAATTAGCAAAACTACAGAATAAATCGATCACAAAGCGTCCGTATCTACACTTGAGCACACTGTGCTGTTTAATTACATCATAAAAACATGTTCATGGGTATTTAAAGGATCGGTCTACTTATACAAGAGTTTTTTTTGATTACTCAATCCAGGTAACCATGCAGATTGTCTTGCATCTTGGATGCTCGGGATACCTTTGTCTGAATCTTCCTGCTTCTCTGGATGATCCGCAGAACTCTCGGTAGTTTGCAGGATCATCCAGAGAAGCGCGGCATCATTTCTGGAAAGATGAGTGAAAAAATCCACTCGTTATCAGCTAAGATATTTATATTTTTGGATAAACTAACGTGTTTTACACTGTTTACTTGTCTTAAGAAGATTCAGATTAAATCTGCAAAATGCCGAAGCTCAAAACCTCAGCGGATAAAAGAAAAAGTTTCTGTTTGGCCAGAAGCCACTGGGGTTAATTAGAAAGCACACGTCTTTGTCATTTGAAGCTGCAGATGCGTCACACTGCCACTTCTAGTACAGCTACTGTAGATCAAGGCTGCATCTCCACAGAGTGAAGGGAAAGTCAAGGACACCATCCTTTGTTTTAGGCACACGACTGAACAGGAGAGGTAGCGAGATACTCTAGCAAAGACACATCTACAGTAAGGGCACTCCCTCCTCCATCACGTTCTACACACAGTAATAGTCACAGTGAGCAATAAGGTCAGACAATTGTAATTTGTAGAATAAATAATGAGTTATTTTAAGGTGGCCAGGTTCTCTTCAAATATTCAACCAGAGAACTGGGAATGATCAATTTCTTAAAAAAATATATAAACTGCACAATGTCTTTATAATAATGTGACACTCGGGGAAAATGTATAAAACCTCGAAGTTAAATTTCAGCTTATAAAACTGATTAGTCACTATGATTGAATCCAAAAGCACCTTTCAAACTTAAAAGAAAGGTGTTTTTATTATCTTTGCGTTGAATCTGTGTTACATGTTTGAAACTTTATATATGTTGGAAAGCGTCCCTAGCTCTAAAATCATTTTGTAATTCATGAAATTATTTTGCTACCTCAGAATCAGATTCTTTAGTATCTTTACCCTTTTTACCGTTTTGAGAGCAACATTCAGCTTAACTCTCAGTTTAAAGAAAAGAAAGGTTTGTCCGTGTTCCCGGAGCTCAACTGTTTCCGCGGACCGAGCTGCGGAGGATCCGGAGGCGAGACATGACTTCGTCCCAGTCCATGTAGGCGCCCTCGAGGTGCCGCGACCTGTCCGGCCGGCTCCTGTAGGTCCTCCGGCCGTGCAGCAGACGCCAGTTATCGAAGGTCAGCACGTCGCCTGCAACACGACAGCACCAACACATCAGTCACGAAGGAGTGAGGTGTGTTTCATCTGATCCTTATTTCAGTGTGGAATGGAGTTTGTTAATGGAGAAATGCTTCTGTAACCTATTCGCTACACGAGTCAAAAACATGACAAAGAACACAACAAAAGCAGGAGTACATCCCTGTGCATCTTTTTTAAATGCAAACAACAACAAAACAATTTCCTGCAAAATTTGACCGACGTCACGTAAAAATAAATTTTAAAAAGCCGGCAGGTCGGGGGTTTATTCAGAAAAACAAGTTTCAACACCGTCGCCTTCAGATGCCGTTGAGCAGGTTTGTTTGAAGGATCTCAGGGAGGCTTGAACCCCGCCTCCCCCCGCTATCACTCCATCTCTGTCCTCTTGATGCTGCAGACTCTGTGCAGGGCAGTGATTATTCAGAGAGGGCTACACCACTCTCGAGGTCATTAGATTTGGTCCACAGTGACAGAGGGGACACTGACCGTCTGATGACAAAGATGTTGTTGCACGTCACCGTACCAGACCAGGATCCGTTTACGGAGTATCTACGACTAGGAGGGCTTTTTGTTGTTATGTTGCATGGGGAGGGTTTAGAGAGTTGCACACTGACCTGGAATCATTTTGTAGGTGACCATGTTCTCTCCTCGGTTTATGATATCCACATAGGCCCTCAGCGCTCTGTAGAAGGGCTGAACCTGATGCACGGGGAGGTCCAGCACCGAATCTCTGGTGGCGTTGTTGTAGTTTATCCTCACGACTCGGCCGGCGGCATCAACTCTGCTCAGAGAGGAGGATGATGTCAAACCAACACATCGCACATTAATAAAGAAAGTAATCAATAGATTCATCAATTATGAAAATAATCATTGTGTTCCATGTCTGTGACCCAGAAAGGAGTTTTATTCACTGGACACATTAATTAAATATGAACTGATCTCGTCGGCTTCTTTAATTCTTAAGGTAAGTATGTGGACAGATGGTTGTTCAAACAATATACTCTATATATTGTTACACAGTTTTGGTTTTGCCACATTGAGAATATTTGGACATAATTCTGAACAGCAGATGGCAGTGTCTCATTTCAAATCACTCCACCGCATCGATTTCTTTTTTTTTTTTTTGAATGCACTTCTTTTAGACTCTTGCAAGGCCTTGAACACAGAGATAGTAAATGTGTGTGTGTGTGTGTACGCGTGAGAATGAAGCAGGTGATCTGACAGCCCGTCTTACTCGATGATGCACTTCTTGGCCTGCAGCATGAACTCGCAGTAGTCGATCCCCATGTCGGTGAAGTCCACGTGGGCCGAGGTGAGCGTCCCGAAGGCCTCCGGGTCTTCTCTCTGCAGCAGCTCGGCCATGTGGAAGCCGTCCACCATCTCGCTCTCCCCTCCTTCCTCAGCATCGCTGATGCAATGCAGCAACTGCACCTACAACACACACACGCCGCGCAAATGCTCCTTTATTTACAACTCCGAGGGCATAAAAGCCGAAACGCCAGCAGTCAAAACAAACCTGAAAGCAGCACATGAATGCATAAGTGATACTGTATCTGTTTAGTGTCGTTTAATGCTCTTTAGAGAGGGTATAAGTCAGATTTTACTTACTCCGGGTGCAAAGTGCAGTGCAGGGTAGTCGGTGTGGGGACTGAGCTTTCCTGAAGTGTAGGCTACATTGTTTGCCATGTGTTTGTCCTGGACCTGCCATGTGTGCCTGAAGACAAAGATAACATTCATTAATAAACTTCTAGTTCATTATTCAACTTTGGCTTTAGAAGATAAGCAGCAACAATTAGGCTGAGAGGACGAGAGGACGAGAGGACATGAACTTTGCGGGAGCGTCACAGGACTGTAGTCCCTGAAGTAGACACTTCATTGAGACGCGGCAGCAGTCGAAGCTCTAATGAGGTAAAGTTATATTCCGCGTTACGTTCGCACGCCTCGTTTGGATGCCCGACTCGTAAAATGGTCTGGTTTCTGTGATGGCAGGCCTTCAGCTTCGGTCTGCAGTGACTTTACTTCCAGCAGCGTGAGCTCATGCGCTGGCAGAGGGTCGGCTTTACGCTCCAAACCTCTGTTCTGACTGAGTGCACCAGGTAATTCCTCCGGCTTAAAAGGAAAAAAGAAGCTGGAATGCTCTTGGGTTGTTTTCCCCGGTCTCTGTGTTCAGTAATCGGCTCTGCAGTAAGTCAAAGTGATGAACTCTGGTGTGATGAAAGGGCCGACAGACGCTCTGTAATCTTCACCATGGAAACCAGATCAATCAAAGCTACAGATAACGGACCATAACGTTAACGTGGTTAAGTGAGAATCTAAGAACATCTTTCATCAAAATATCCAACTCGTTTCCTGCTTCCCTGGAGAAGGCTTGTAAATAAAAGGTCTTTTGTATTACATTTAATTTGCTAATAACGCTCTCTGGGCTCCGCTCCAGCCGAAATATGATCGGTGGAAAATGTAGCTGTTCAGGATTTCGTGGGGAGTCGATGGACGGACAGTCACGGGGTCTCACCCGTAGAACGTCAGCCGGAGATAGCCGATCCTCTCGGCGAGTCTGGCCACTACGCCTTGCTCCGCCGGCGCCCCCTTCAGGTGGACGACGCCAACGCGGCGCAGGGCCAAGAGCCAGTCCAGCGCGGCCTTGTCGTCGCAGAGGACCTCCTGGTAGTCGGCCGTGGGAACGCGCAGTTTGGAGTCCCAATAATAACGCTCTGAAACGAGAAAGAGGACAGAGGAAGAAACACGTCACTTCATCTTAGTGGAGAGGTACATACGGGGTCGAGTGTCTGCAAAGCACCAACATGAGACATCAAGTGTGTCTTTGTCCGGGTCTGTAGCTGCTCTGCATCACTTTTTTTTTTTTTTTTTTTCCACACAATACTGGTTATAAACTGTTAGCTTCTCGTGGAGTGAGAAGCTGCATGTTCTCCTTTAAACGCACATTTACTCCAACATTAACAAATCCCAACAACTGTTTCATTTAGCAAAGCATGTTGGCAGGTTTTAGCATCATGATTTAAAGCCACATTCAGAAATCACAACTACAGGTTTGGATTGACAAAGATACCGAATGTTTTCCACTGAAGACATTGTGTCCAGGGACCAGAGCTATCCGGGTGTGCAGCAGGAGTGAGCTCCAGCAGAGCGAGCGTGCCCATAACCTGAGATTTCCACACGTCACTTCTTTTAGGAAACATTCTTTTCCCCGAGATGACGGAAAGAAAGTTGAATAATGTGCGGTGAGAGCTGTCTGGCGTGCTGAGGGCAAAATAAATCAAGCACACACACTTTCTATCGCTTTAAACATGATGAAGGCGTGTGGCAGATGTTAACTAAATATTGAGAAAAAATAAACAGTTTTGTTCATAACTTAATTGTTGGTCCCCTGTGTCTTTCATTTGAGACGTGCCAATGCATACGATAGCGTGCTCACTTCAAGACGCACAGCTCGCTGAGAAAATAAAATAACAAATCAGCCGGTCTCCGTCAGACAGACAGAAGTGGAAAGAAACCCTCCCACTGCTCTCCACCCAGCTGGCTCGACTCTCTTTTTCCATGCAGTCCGTCTCCAGTGACTTCCACAGAAACAGCTGCTAAGTGCATCGCAGGAGGAGGACGAAGGGTTCAGGTGAGGAGCTTGTGTACCTGCCTGATGTTTGTGTCTCTTTTCAGTACCAAACAACTTCAAGAAGAAAACCCTCCAAACGGCTGCGTCACAGACACACTGCAGCCAGCAGCAGACGGAGGACACACAGCAAAGGAGAGCTCGCACAACTTCGCGCATAATTAATCATCCCCAAGTGTCTGAAACGTCAAAAGAGAGAATGTGACCGTTCGCTCTGAAGGCCGTAAAGATGTAACGTTACAGTTGCAACAAACAGACCGGTGATGAGGAGGGAGGCACAGAGCACCCGGAGACGTAGCGTCAGTCAGAAACACAGTGATCATCAGCACTCGCAGACCTCCCTCCAGGCTGTTGTCACAAACGATCAGCTTCTGGCCGCACAGTTCACAGGGTCAGGGAACCCCCCCGGCTTATCAAGGGGAATCAGAAACTGGAGAAAAGGTCAAGCCTGAATGTTACAATTGCTCTTGTGAAACTGGATCCGGGTGGGGGTTTTCTTTTGGGTGTCCCCCGTGACAAAGTGTCCACGCCGCTGGTCGCTGGTGGCGGTGTGCACACACATCAGCCGAGTCTCATTCTGAACACGCTCGCTGCTGCGGAGCGAATTCACACCGAGGTCTGGCCGGCTTGAGCCGAGCATGAGAGCTTTGCACGGATATCGGTCTTCTTATCTTGTAAGCGGCTCGTCGCGTGTGTTTGTTTAAATAGAAAAGGCGAATCACAAAATCTGAGATGTGAAGGATCACAAGGAATTTTACTGTCAGAAGAGATTAAAGAACAAATAAGAGTCTTGTCGCCCGGACTGCTGTAGATACACATCTGGTCAAATGTAGAGCCGACAAAACAGAGCTTTGATGCTTGAGAAGTACATTTATTTAAATAATATACATAAGTACAGTTTTAAAGTACTTCCTGTACTTCTACTCCACCATGCAACAGATTACATCTTCAGTGTTTAGTGGACCTTTGAGACCTTTGAAGTCTTGTTGGTTGTTGAAAGCTTCTGTTCTGTCGTGATTTTACAAGCTTTTTATTTTCTTTATGCTGCAGCGTCGTACGTGTCATTTGATGTTTTCTCTGCTTTTTACATTTGTTAAAATGCTTATGTGTTAATGCATTAGTAGTAATAATCCAGTGATGTAATATATATGAATAAAAACTCTAAAAGGGCCATTCTAATGAGATCTCTTACATATGACATTTAATCGATGTGTTTTACATTAAAGCGCTGTTAATGAATTTATAATCACCGTTCTCTCAGCCACAGCGGGCTCTATAAAGCCACACACACACACACACACACACACACACACACACACACACACACAC